TTTCACACACAATCTTATTTTAGCCTCATGGCCACATTGTGAGATAGGTCAAGTGCCATCTCCATTTTACAGATGAGAAACAGGCTCAGGGAAGGAGGTTAAAATGACTTGCCAAAGTCACAAAGCACAGACTTAAACCAAACCCAGCTTTTCTCTAACTCCAAATACAGTAATTCCCATAGTTTACAGTTTAGTAAGGAGTCATGCCATAAAATTGTTTCAAGTAATAGACAAGTTAGGAAAAGACGTTCAGAGCCCCAGTCACCAGGAGAAAAAAATGAGAAATAATAAAATAACACCTTTACTGAGATGAGCCAAATCACAGCACCCAGAAGGAGACCAAGGTTGAATTAGTTCAGGTTATTGTCAAGCAGGCAGGACACAGCAGCAAGCAATGCACATTCAAGAAGAACGGTGGCAATTTGGTTCTAGAGAATCAGTCCGTTCCTTGGCTGGGCCCTTACCACTGTTTGATCTTCACCTGAAGTTAAAACCAGCTCCTCCTAGCCAAATCCAGGGAAACACTGAACAAGCCTTGCCCGAGGACCTGTTACGATCCCGTCACTGAGTATACAAAGACAACACTTGCCCTTGAGCAGTTCTCTATTGGCCTAGTGGATGAGGCATACAATTAGAAGACAGAATGGATAAAGGCTGCTATAGGAACACAGAGACACTTGCACAGCCTAGGAAGGTAAGGTGGTGGGGTGGAGAAAGGATAGGGGTGAGGAGTTAAGAACAGCTTCCAAAGAAAGTAATTAAATTTAAATCCCTGAGGATAAGTGGGAATTAGCCAGGCAAGGGGAGCTGGAGAGAGCAGAGGGTACAAAGAAAACAGGGAGCACATTTAAATTCTAAAGGTGAGAGAGAATAAGGCATATTCAAGAAATTGCAAGGAGACTAGTTCTCAAGGAATAGTTTCAGTTCTAATCAGAAACCCTGGAGTGCAGTAGAGAGATTAAGGCAGCAGCCCAGTCTCAAATATGGTACAACAATTCCTAGGCCTCGTAGCACCAGGCCTTACTCCTATATCCTACTTGCTGTTGGAGCTGTGGCTAGTGATAATAATTCTTGCTCTGAGTCACACTGGTTCAGGAATTGGACTTAAAAGTTGGGCTCTCCTTAGATATAGGAGCTCAGAATCACAAAGTTGCAGGAGGAAGGGGTGATGAGGCATGAGAAATAAGATACTGAGAAAGAAATGAGATAATACAAATGTATGTATGACCACAATACTGAACAATGCTCTAGGAATTCAGATGAATGAGAGCAGGGTTTGGGAAATGACGGCCAGTGGACCAAACCTAGCAGGCTGCTTGTCTTTATAAAGAATGTTTTATTGGCACACCACCATACTCATTCATCTACATATTTTCTGTGGATGCTTTTGTGCCAAACAACAGAGTTCAGTAGTTACAACAGACCACATGCCTATAGAGCCTAAAATATTTCCTATCTAGTCCTTTACAGAAAAAAAAATTGCTGACCCTTGCCCTTGAATATACTGAGTGCTAAAAAGAGATACATGGAGAATGTTTAGTGGTGGCGCAAAGGAGGAAATAATTCAAAACATGCTAAGGATTTTCTGTTCCTAGTCTGCATCACCTTTGACACAGACTTCAAAGAATGTCAAGAGAATATTCTTTGACAGAATGGCTAAACACATTGTGGATATTCACACAAGAAAATATCACACAGCATTGAAAAATAAATTACAGCTACATGCATAAATCACAGAAATAATGTTACATGAAAAAGAAGATCACAGAAGAATACATACAGTTTGATAATTTTTTTGTAAAGCTCAAAACTAAGGAAAACTTATGGATATATAATGTGATAAAACTTATTAAATGTAGAAGGGAAATGATAAACACAAAATCCAGGATAGAGAATTGCTTTGGGGGAAGAAAGAAGAGGACTTTAGGTAGATTCAAAAGCATTGGTAATGTTCTAATTCTTAAGCTGATGATGGGTTTTTAGATGTCTGTTTTATTATTATGCTCCATAAAGTACATGTCACACATATGCTTTTGCATGTATCGAAACTATATAATAAAAAGTTTTTGAAAGTATAAAGACAGCAAGTGGTGATGTATTGAATGCTAGAGCATAGCAATTTGAAGAATGAATAGCTGGCAGAAAAAGCAAATGACAACTGGGACCGATTTTGAAACATTTCTTGTGGATTCCCTGAAATTACTCGGGGGCTGGGGGAATCACCCTCCAACCTGGTGGAATAGATTGCCCATGGTCCACAAGATGGGGGCTCAGAATAGTTATCTGTAATATTAATTATACAAATCTGAACTTTATTTGTAGTGTCAGGATGGTGAGATCTGGAAACTTACGGGTTACCTGAAAAAGCGGAACAGTGTGTATAAAGACACGGAAGTATGAGGAAAATGATGGCCCATTTAAGCAAATGCAAGCATTACCATGTTGTGTGACTGTCGTGCAATAAGCCTGCAGGGCGGAGGGTGGGAAATTAAGACAAGAGACAGGCAGGATTCAGATCATGGCGAACATTGTATGCATGCTCCAGAGTTGGGATTGGATCCATTAGATCATGGGTAATCCACTGAAGGGCTTCCAGTATGAAAGAAGGGAGTAAAACGATCAGCTCTACATTTAGAGATGTCCAGGGCTCAACAAGCTTTGACTACAAAATAAGGTGACACCTCCCCCCAATCCCCAAAGGGAACCTCAGTTAATGGTTTGCTAATTAAAGATATTTTTCTATATATTTAGCAACCTACAGTTTTTGCTTATACAAAGAGAAGATCACACTGTATGAATTATTCTGTGACTTTTATTTTACTTGTTTCACTTATTATTATATCATGGACATCTTTCCGTGTCAGTATCCATAGATTTACCTCACCATTTTTAAGGGCAGCATAGTATACTATATGCTTAGCCCTCCACATCAATGGATACGGAGAATGGGCTGTACTCCACCATTTTATGTAAGGGAGTTGAACATCCAGGGATCTTGATAGTCACGCATTTGGGGGAGGGGGAGTGGAGGAGCGGGGGAGTGGGGCAGGGGGTGGAATCAGCCACCCAAGGATACAGAGGGATGACTGCATATGGATGTTCATATTCCTGTCACTTAAAAAATATTCTAATTATCACACTTTATTGTTGCTTCTTTTTTCTCTTTCCTTATTTTTGCTGGGCTGACTGGATTTCCTTTTTCAACTATTAGTGGTTTGGAAGTTATATGAACTATTTATGTTCTATTAATAATTATTTTTCAGTTTTGTTCACTTATACAAATGACACACAAATACATTTTTGAAAAAAAAAAACCAATATAGAAGAATATGGGATAAAAAGTGGAAGTGTCCCTACCCTGTTGAGTTTGGTGCATAGCCTTCTTCAGCGTTTATGTGTGTGTGTGTATGTATACATATATATGTATATATATGTATTATATATATAGGAGGTATCATTACTGTACATGTAGATCTACAATTTGCTCTTTAAATGTAATATGCATTGGAGATCTTTTCATGACAGTACATAGAGATCTATCTAATTCTTTTTAAGGGCTGCATGCTATTTCATAATAAAGACATACCACATTTATTTAACCATTCTCCTATTTTGGGACACTTGGTTACTTCCAATTTTTTGCTACTACAAACATGCAGCAATGAACATCCTGTAACTTAGATCTTTGTGCACGTATAAAAGTATTTCTAACAACAAGTTCATACTGTATAGTGCAGGGAACTATATTCAGTATCTTGTAGTAACTCGTGAAAAAGAATATGAAAATGAATATATGTGTGTTCATGTATGACTGAAGCATTATACTGTACACCAGAAATCGACACAACATTGTAAACTGACTATACTTCAATAAAAATATATATTTAAAAAAAGTATTTCTGAGGATATATTAGAAATAGAATTGGGTCAAGGGGAAGGTATATTTAAATTTCAATAGATTGCCATATTACCCTTAAGAAATGTGCATACACACCCATCTTCAGAATGACCACTGACTACCCACATTATTAGCAACACCAAATATTATCAAACATAAAGTTTTAGCCAAAATATTGCATGAGTTCATTCTCACTGTAAAACAACCACAACAAAGCAAAAGTAGAAGTGCCGACTTGACCACCATCCCCTGATCCCTCTCAGAAAGTTGATTTCCACCTTGCTATTAATTTTTCATTAATGGTTTCAATATGCTTGATCTTCTTAGGAATAATTTAATAATTTATTCAAGCTTCCTATACATGTTCTTAACAATTATTTGGACTTAACTCTAAGTTTTACAAGTTCATTTACTCACCAGTGTCTTCTGAGATGGCTCCATTGTCACTCCCACCCCCTAATCCAGATGACTGTGACATGGTGTATCTTTGGGGGCTGTATTAGAAAATGAAGAATTCATTTTTACAGCTGCCCTCTCCCATATCTGTATGCTATATGGATTCATTGACTCGGGTTTCCCAACCAATTTTATCCTATTTGTTTCATATTTTCAAGAAAATCCTCACAGTTTCGGGCTGATAATTATACCCTTCCCTGTTATTTCTTCAAGTTGTCGCTCTATTCTCATATTTATTTTAGTTCTTTCATTTAAAGCTGATTTGTGGGAGAAAAAACACATTTGTTCAGATAACATCGTAAACTGGAAGTCTGACATACCCTTTTAAATCACGACTGCTTGAGCCCCTGCTGGCTAGAATGCCAAGAAATAGACTCCCCTCCAACCGGCCTGTAGCTATTTCGGAGGCTTCTCCAAAGTAAGATTTCACAAGGGATCTGAACCAGGTCTCTAATTATCTTCTATTTGGGCCTCTTTAGCCGGCTACAGTGCTTTGGTTGTTGAGGGTCCTCCTGTGGTGTCACCACTTAGCTCAGGGCAGTTTTCTCTGCAGATAAACACGGCTCTAACATACTTTCCCCTAAATTCTCTGCATCGCAGGTGGGTAAAGTCTGTAACTTCTAACATACCTCTTCTAAACGTTTAGGAATAACGAAAAGAAGAACAACATGAAGAATAACTTAAAACTGTCTAAAGATGTGGCCTTGCTTAGCCCGTCTCTCAGCCCGAAACAGGTCCATGTTAAGTTCTTACAAGAATACCCACCCCGCTCGCATCAGTCTCAAAGGGACCGCTTAACTCACCATCCCAAGAGGATCAGGAGGACTGGTTGTAGTTTGTGGTTCTATCTAGATTGATCTCTAATCCTGAGGACTCCGAAGACAACAGAGCGGTAAACACGCTAGCAACTAGCACCTGACAATCGAGCTAAGTCCCGTCCACCGAAGCTGGATTTCTTGTGGCTTTAACAGTATTCAAGGATGATTGACAGCGGGTCTGACCAATCCCATCAGGGGAACCCCACTTGCCTAACTGGGGCCTAGTTGGCGCCAAAAGTGAAAACCGAACACGCGAAATGATCTGTGATCAATACATTTCCCAAAGTTTGGGTAATTCTCTATGGAACATTGGCAAGGTTGTTTCGTGCCAAGACTGGCACAGTTCCTGCGCTAACACCACTGGGTAGTAGTGAAAGTTCTGACTCTCCCTGGGGTCTCCTCAACACCATCCCAGTGCGGAGGGTGGGGGGCGCCAGGCTCCCCACGTGAGCGGGGACAGGTGGGAGAAGCGGGATGGCAGCCTCCAGGTAGCCTGCCCAGGCTGATGTGGATGAGGGGTGGGGCGCAGTTTTTCCATGGCATTTGGCTAGACTGTATCACTTACATAAAATGTTCTGTAGTGCTAGGTTGCCCCTTTTCTGATCCTTTGTCTAGAGAGAGAAGAATTTTGAGGGTCCTTATTTGTCTGTGCCGGTTGGCGTTTCACACATATCTTTTCCCAATATTGTGAATGGGGTGCTGCTTTTTCCTGTTTCTGTTTCTAGTATTGCTAGATAAAAGAACGCTATTGGAGTAGAAGAATAGATTGTTAGTTCTAAAATCTATGTGATGGGTATATTGATGTTCACTGTGAAATTTTTTCAACTTTTCTTTATAAACTTTGAAACTATATAATAAATGTTGGAAAATAAAACAAAAGGAATCTACTTTATAATACTTCAAAAAAAGTGGGGAAAAAATGAAAGCTGTGGGACTCTGTACATTTATCTTACATCCAGCTTGTATTAGTTCAGACTCTTGTTTCCAAGTGACAGAAACCCAGCTTGAATAAGCTTAAGAGGAAAATGGAGTTTATTGGTTTATGTAATTGGGAAGGACAGGGCAGATCTCAGACAAACTTGGATCCAGAGACTCAAATAGTGCCTAGGTTCTCACTCATCTCTTCATTTCTCTTCTCAGCCTCTTTCTTCTCTGTATTGGCTCATTCTCTAAGACTGGTCCACATGGTAGAGACACAGCTACCAACTACTCTGGGGTCACATCTTTACAGTTCAAGATCCAAAGAAAAGAGAAAGCTACCTCTCTGCCTCTGATTGGGAATATTCCAAGGAAAGTATTTTATCTCTGGCCTGCGTCATGTGCCTACCCCTTGGAGCTGCCACTGTGTCCAGCAGATTTGATATTGTGATTAGCCATCCTGGGTTAGGTGCCCAGCTGTGTGTGTGGAGGGGGAATGGGACAAGGTACTATTGTTGCTGGTACCACCAGGACTAAATTGAAAGGACAGTGAAGAAGGAGCAGATCTCCAAAGGAAGAAGACTGCTATTACCAGAAGCAGGGAAGAAGGAATGCTGGGCAAACCAAAATAGCAGATGTCCATTTCATAGACTTCTTATTTTTAATCGTTTTTAAATTGCATTTCTTGGATTCTCAATGCATATAATCTTATCATCTGCAAATAATTATAATTTTTCCTCTTTTTCCCATTTTCTTTTTAGTTTTATACAGTTTACATCATTTTTCTTGGTTTATTACATTTCAGAACCTTCAAAACACTGTACTGGACATCCATGCCTTATTCCTGAATAAGGAATAAGGGAAATGACTTAAGTATGATGTCTGCTCGTGGCTTTTTGATACTTTTTACTATGTTTAAAAAGTTCTCTTCTACTTCATTGTACTTAGAGTTTTTATAAGGAATAGCTGCTGATTTTTATGCAGTGCCTTTCGGCCACCCATTGACAGATAAGATGACATAAAAATTTAAAATTTTAAGTAGCAGAGAGAGGTACAGAAATCACCAAAAAAAACAATAAGAAAAAAAAACTGGAATGTAGATTTCACCTTCTATGAAACTAGGAGATAAATGTTACATGAAAGTATAACTTATGAAGATGGAAAGTGAATGGACAGGAGGCTGAATGATGATAGATAGCCCTAACAGAAGCACTCACAATATGTCCTGAACTATTCTAAGTGCTTCATGTATGTTAGCACAGGAAAGTGAGTGAGAGAGATCTGAATGTTCATGATACAGCTGGCTCAGCTTGTGAAAATTCATTGAACTATAAACTTACCATTTATGCATTTCTGTATGTTATTTATCAGTTAAAAGTTAAAAAATAGATTAAAAACAAATGAAATGGACATGAAACAGAGAGATTATAGACTTGAAGACAAATCGGGGTAATGGAGTGTGCTAGACTAAGAATAGGGAAAACAGAAGAAAGTCAGAGATTTTACATTCCACATCCAGTTTCCAGAATACAGGCAGCCAGGCTTATGTCCCAAGTAGGAAATCACTCCAGAGAAAAGACTACCGAGCAGAGGAAAACATAAAACAACCAGTATGCTTCTATTCCACTTAGTATATTTAGAGAAATAAAAGACAATGTTATAATCATAAAACATGAAACAGGAGTGAGTGAAAAAAAGGCCCACATACAGGCATACCATTGTGAAATTCCAGAATACCAGAGTTAAAGAGCAGACCTTAAGAGCTTCCAGAAGTAGAAAAAAGTAAAGGCCTCCTACAAAAGATTAGGAGTAAGAAGGACTTTGGGCTTCTCAACAGAAATAGACAAAGTCTTCAATATTCTTAGTAAATGAAATTTCCAACATAGAATTCTATATTCAGCCAAAATACCAATTGAGTGTTAGAGTAGAATAAATACATTTTCAGACATGCAGTACTCAAGAAAGTTTCCTCCTATCCATGCTCTCTCAAGAAGCAACTGGAAGACATGCTTCACTATACCTAGAGTGTAAGCCAAGGAAAAAGACATGACATCCAGGAAACAGAAGACTTGACACAGGAAATTGAAGTCGCAAGAGAGGGATGCAAGAAAAAAATTGGAACTGATAGCTTATCTATTAATTTAACTACATTGAAAATTATATTGCAAGTTTGATAGTCTGGGAAGACTTTGTCATAGGTACAAGCAGGGCTGCCATACATAACTGCATGGGCCATGCACTGCACAACACCATGGAGCACCATAGAAAACTAAGCAATTATGAAATCCAGGAAAAGAAAAAGTTGTTTAAGAAAGGGAATGGAATCATAATATACTATCAGACACATTAGTTAATTCTTTGTATATAATCGTAATGATTAAACATAATAGTTTATCCAAAATTTGCTGTAACTCTATTGAGAAGATGAAGAGGAGAGAATAGTGGGAAAGAGAGCTAAATAGTCTATGGCCATACCACCCTGAATGCACCTGATCTCATGAAGCTAAGTGGGGTGGGGTCTAGTTAGTACTTGGATGGGAGAGATAAATAAATTATGGTACATCTGTGCAAAGGAACACTATGCAGCCTTTAAAAGGAAGTTATGGTACTGGATGTACCCATCTGAAAAGTATCTATGATGATTTAAGTGGGAAATAAAATAAGTTGTAGCCCACTGTGTATCAATGGATACCACTTTTGTTTAAAAAACATAAATAGATATATTTGCCTTATATATTTGTATAAGCATAGTAACAAGTCAAGAAGATAATACAGCAAGCTGTTGATAAGTTAGTTTCTGAGAGATGATATTAGAAAGGCAGAAGGGCACGGATATATATATATCCTCAGGGTTGCCAAGTGAATTACTTCTGGTAGGTGAATGGGTGGCCCAGGTTGGATGGGTGGGGTAGGTTGTGGGGAGGGGCACTCTAGCATGGTCAGTAGATGCCTTTTCCCTAGTTCCTGAGGAACCTCCTGGAGAGGTCTAGTTGTGCTTGATGGTCTCTGAGAGCTGTTGCTGGCATTTGCATTAAAGACCTTCCTCTTGGTGCTGAGGGTGGCTTTATCTTTAGGGAGGAGGGCCTAGACTTTAAAACCAGAGCTTCCTGATTGCTGGAGACAGGATCTCTGGGCTGCTCTGAAATGTTGCCTCTGCAAGGGCTCAGGAAGGTCAGAGGCCTGTCTCTTGAGACGGTGGATTGTGTGAAGTAAAATCTACTGTCAGAGGAGGCCCACTTGAGTGAAGTCTCCCTGAACTTGAACCTGACCTCTCAGCCCTATGCGTGGATTTGGAAGGAGCCCCAGAGGGTGAAGGCCTTGTCTCTGGGTAGTGTAAATGGCACTGACAGAGGTTCTTGTTTAGTTTACCTATCTATGGTTCTGCAGGATATGCTCTGCACAAGGGTGTACTGAAGGGTATGTGTGTTGGGGGTGGAGGAGGATGAAATCTAGCCCACACTCTGCTGGTCAACAAGCCTTGTGCCCTAATGCAGGGATGCCTCTGTCAGCAGAAAAAGGCAAGCATTTTTATAATTGACCTACCCAAAGGAGAGCCTTTTTCTAATCAATTCACCCCGAGGGGGCACTTTGTGTGTACAATCTTCCTGCTTTGATGGTTGTGCCTGCTAGTTGTCGTCTTGGCTCTCTCAGAAGCACTGATATGCAGATACTAGATTTCTCAATCCTAATGGACCTTTATTAAAAGTCCTGAGTAATCAGAAGCCAATGCTGGAAGAGGCTCTTTCCCCTGACCTCTCAGAGTGAGCACTGGCCACTCTCCTTGCCTCAGTCAAATTGACATAAGAAAATGACTTTGGTCAGATTAGATCAAGGTGGCGGCCTAAGCGCTTGTAACTTTGTCCCCCTCCCCCTCCCCATATCTCTTAAAACATGAGAATAGCAAAAGGACCAATAGTGGTATAATTAAAGGAATATGTACCATCAGCAATTCAGAAATTGTGAAGAATCCTTTGAGAATAGAAACCAGATATGATCAGATTGATAAGAGAGGAGCAGAAGCCCAATCCAAAGCCTGCAAGAGAAAATTACTGGAGCAAATCCAGAGGAAATCAAATCTCAGAATGAACACATGCAAAGAGCAGGAGAGGCTCTCTGGTCAATTAAAGAACGGCATTCAGAAAAGAAGGTTCAGTCGGGCCCCTCTGTGATCAGCCCCGCTCCTCCTTCCCCCAACTCATTCCAAGGTTAAAGCCTGAAATTTTGCGCTAAAGAAAATGAGCTATTTGCTTCCAAAAGTTTGCTAGTGTGAGTGTAGGATCCTAGAAAAAACAGAGCAGATCTTGGTGTAATCTGGACTTCCACAAAACATATGGAAAATCAAAAAAAGAAAAGCAGCTTTGGATAGGAGAGAAATACACTAAAGTTCTCCACTGCCAGAATAAAACTGTTGTGGCAGTTTGCAGGGAGTGGGGGAGAATGGCCTTCCTGCCTCCACACTCACCTACCTTAAAGTGAAGCCTGACAGGTCAACACACACAGCTACTTACACAAAGTCCTGCTCAGCAGACACGTAACTGCAGAGGGAACCCAGGCAAGCTATCATTGCTAATCAGTTTGTCCCTTATTCACTAACATAGACAACAAAGGAGTGCCAGAAATAGTTGGACAAAACCTGCAACATAAAAGAGAAAAACCAAAATGAATGGAGTCATCTCCCACAGCCAAGGGTTCCACATTTGCAGATTCAGCCAACTGTAGATCAAAAATATTTTTTTAAAAAAATCCAGAAAGCTCAAAAAAGCAAAACTTAAAATTTGCAGAGCTCTGGCAACAATTTACATAGCATTTACACTGTATTTACACTATTTACATAGCATTGACATGTATTAGGTATTATGAATAATCTAGAGATGACTTAAACTATATGAGAGTTCATTTATCTTGTTTTGTTTTGATTTTTGTTTACTCTTTTTTATATTCTACATATGAGTAAAATGTATACGGTATTTGTCTTTCTCTGAGTAATTTCACTTAGCATATAATGCCTTCAAGTTCCATCCATGTTGTCACAAATGACAAGATTTCATCTCTTTTTATGGCTGAGAAGTATTCCATTGTAACAAAATGAGTGAACAAACCAAACCAAACAAAAACTAACTTGTAGATACAGAGAACAGAGTAGTGGTTACCAGAGGGGGGCAGGGAGGGTGAAATGGGTAAAGGGGATCAACTGTAAAGTGATGGATGGAAACTAAATTTTTAGTGGTGAGCACGTTGTAGGGTATATAGAGGTAGAGGAGACCAAGGGAGGACTGTAAATAGAACAACTGGCCCTGATGGGGAAGGGGGAGGAGTGAAATAATGAAATAATACAAGCAACAAAACTCCAATTTTCAGATTTTAATTTTCTGACATATTCAGAACACATTGCAGGCATATTCTGAGCCTCTATAAATTACTCAGGTAGGCATTACAGAAAAATGAAAAACTGAATCCCAAAAAGAGGATCACATGGAATATAAGAAATAGCGGTGAGCAAAGAAACAGCAAAACTTTGAGTCGTCTGAATGCAAGCAAAAAAAGAAAACTATTTGAATCAGACAAACATAGAATTCAGAGCCAACATCAAAAGAGACAAAGGGATATTTAATATTGATAAAAGGTACCCTTCACTAAGAACATGTGACAACCATGGACTTTCATGCACATAACAAAGTGAATTAGAGACATATAAAGTCTGTTAGAAATACAAACAGAACACAAATTTACAAATGACCAATCACAGGGGGCAGAGTCTCCTATCTTGCTCTCCCTTTCCTTCTTTCCCCCTTCCTTTCTTATCCCTTTCCTGCTTTCTTCCCTACTTTCCTCCAAAAATATACATTTAGCACCTGACATGTGCCAGGCATTGTGTACTGTGGGCGTAGCAGCAAGCAAAGCAGCTTTGGTGCCTGCCACACAAAGCTTTCACTCTAGTCAGGGAGACAGACATTATTCAAATATTAATTCAAGTACATGTGAAATTACAACAGCGATGAGTGCTCTGGAGGAGAGGTACAGAGAGGTACGAGAGGTCAGGGAAAGTTCTCTGAGCAAGCAAAACCTCCTCAGA